ATTTGTGGGCTTTGCATCGGAGTTTCATAGATCCTAACCCGGATCTGGGGATACCCTTTTAGGTAGCATAAGCTGTGAGGGACCTGTCCGGCGTAGACCGACACGAGTGAAGCAGTGGCTACGTTGGTGTGGCACCTTGGTCTGTACCGATATCCCTTGTGTTGCACTGAGGAGAATATGGGTCTTCTGAGGAGTCATTAAGCACCAACCGACCTTAGAACCCTAATATGACCCAACTTGGCCATAGAACAGTAGCAGTATGCTACACCCATTGAGGCTAAACTCTCGCGATGGTTCTGGCCGCAAGAAAAGATTGCGACGCTGGCGTTATGACCGATTGAGGGTAGTCAGTGATATTGGGATCCTCTAGAACCCGGTTACTTTTGATAGGACAGGTCTTAACCAATGAAACTGAAAGAGGGTAGTACCTGAACTTCATGTTGGCCTAAACTCTAAGGGTTCTCTGTGTGACTTGTGTGCCTTCAAACTTGATTACTTGTACATACTTGTTATCTAACAACATGGGTTCCTTGCAGGTTTTGTTTCCAGTCCTTAATTGGGACTCATTACAGGGCCTACTTACATCACTCCATGCATAGCATAACATCATACCATTGCATACATCCTACATAAGGACTAATCCATTTCAAGGATCTCAAGGGTTTGTGATGCAGGTCATGATGTCTAGCAAGGGGAAAAGGGGACTTATTTTCCTCTAGCCAAGGTTGATAACTTGAGTCAGGGGCTATGACCCACTCGATATGGTGAGCCTTGACTCTTGAAGAAGGATTCTCAACAACATGAAGTTCCTTCAATCAAGCTACCCAAATTCAAATTCTAACAAGTTTCTCTGTTTACCCCACGAGATCCTTGAAAACATTGCATGCATACATATACATCATTGCATAACAGGTACCCTTGTTACAGGTCACTTACCATCTTCGTTGTTTATTTCAGCAATGGCTTCCCAACAAGACAACCAAGATCTTCATGCTCAAGAGACTCGGTTCGGGGAGATCCTCCTGAATCTATCCAAGGGGCAGGAAGAGCTGAGAACACTCCTCACGGGGACTTTGGTCAGGAACAGTCCAGAAGACGATAAGGACGAACGACTGAAACGTCTACAAGCTGAAGTGGATACAATGAGAACCCAGATGCTGGGGCAAATGGCTCTTATCCAAGACTTATCTCAAAGACAAGGAGAGCTCAGGGTTCTCGTCAACCAACTGCTTCGGGATAACCAACTGGGGCAAACATCTAAGGTTGAAGAGCAAGCCATCATTCAACCACCTGTGGGGAAAGAAGACAAGGGAAAAGCTCCTCAGTTTGCTTCGGGGTCACAAGCCCGGCATCAACCTCACCAGCGTCAACAGGGTAATTGGCGTAAGTAAAATACGTCCGGAAGACATTTCTCGGAGACTGGTGTGCCATCCTCACTAATACTGAAACGCTTGTTAGAGGTCAAGCTGATTGCTTTAAAGGATCCTCCTAAGAAGCTCAACATAACCTCCCTAAAGTACAATCCTGATGAAAGGTGTGCCTACCATTATGACAGTCCTGGACATGACACTGACGACTGTTGGAGCCTGAGGAACAAGATCCAAGACTTGATCGACGGAAGGGTGCTGGAGTTCATGCCGGGAGGGAAAATGAAAATCCTCTGCTGAGAATCTTCCATCTGAAATGACTGGTGCAAACTAAGAAGCTTTTGTTCATTCGAATGTTCAAGTTGTATTTTTCTCTGATTGTTCAAACATTTGTTCATGTCAAACTCTTTTACTTTATCAATGCATCGCATATGTCTGTTTTGAATCAATATATTCTCATTCGCTATATTCAAACTGCTTTCATTTTTTGATGTCAACTCTCAATTAATAATTCTAAGCCTCTTGAGGGAGGATGACGAAAACGATACCACAATCTACAGTATGCTTTTGAATAGACCCTGCTGATGAGGTACAGGCATTGTTTCAATTCCTAAACACTGGAGTTATAAGGAAGATAATCCCTCGTCAACCCCTTTGAGCCAAAGAAGTCAGAGTTTTTCTTTTCGAAAATTAAAACCCTTAATCATAACCTGGGGCAGGGTAGTTCTCTCAGCTGATCCAGGTGCACAACGAATGGCATCAAAGGATTTCTTCCAAGACAAAAGACAGTGATGGTTTCGAATAATCATAAAGACAGGCAGTCATCATTTCTCAAAATAAAAGCCCAACAAGTCAAAACCTATGAAGGAGACTTACAAAAACTGGGGCATCCCGCTGACTGTAATCACAAAAAGGAACAGTTCAGGCAAAAAACAGGGATAACAAAATCAAAAAAAGGAGGTCCTACAAACCCTCAACCAAAAAAGAAATGACTACCTATTCAGAATAAACTGTCAATGTCCGAACCATCACTGGAATATCAGAGCAAAGACTCAAACAAGGTCTAATGCACGATTAGCTGAGTTTAGGATTGAAGAACATCACGAAGAGCGGGTGGGTACAAATACAATTCGAGCCTTTATCCTTCGTTTCTTAAACCGTGAACCAGGCCACGTTATAACCCTCAAAAGTCCTAGCTGAAGCATGGGTTAATTCGAAAGCATACTGTTACAAAGGTATCCTGACTCCTTAAGGCTTGCTGTAAAATACTGAGTTGACATCACATTTTACAAAATTTGCTTGTTTTTATGAAAAAAATGCATTTTCAAAAACTTCAAGACAAACATAAGCTTTGCATTTTTAATATAACATTGCTTGCATATGACTATTTGTTTGAACAACATAGAGGTTCGCACGACGAATGTCTAATGAACAAAAGCACCTCCAAGCAAGGGGAATGGCATGATCATTGTCCATTATCTGGGGCAGTTAAGTCAAGATTCGGAGAATCTCTCAAAAGGCCAACCAGCTTGGGGAAAATCTCCATCTGGATCACTTGGGGCATTGGACGATCAAACGAATATCTTCGGGTGGTATGGCAACACCATACTACTGACAGTGACAGTTCCCTACATCCTGAGAGCATGGACATAGTCGGAAAAAGACGGCGCATAATCAAAGACCCGCTAGGTTGACACACCTAGGCAAAAATAAGGGCTTCCCGGCGAACCAAAAGGGTTCGGGAAAAATAAGGGATGAAAAGAAAAAATTTGTACACCTGGCAAGTCGAAAACCTGAAAAGGCGGCTTGGGCAAAAATGGGCATCCCGGTGGACTGAAAACCCGAAAGGGCGGTCCAAGCAAAAGTTAGGGATCAAGGCGTATGACTATTTCCTATCATCTCGTCACCTGTCTACCAGAAGGTTTGTCAAACACCTCCACAGGTACCTTCTCCCACAGAAACAGGGGCAATAATGAGTTGTCCAAGCGATCTAGTTCCTCTGTCAACCAAGGTACCAAGATAAGTTCAGCTGAAGAACCTGACCAAGTTACCTTCACTCCCCGCAGAGTAAGTCAAGAGTCAGCCATACTCTCCCCCGAGCAGAGTTGATCTCCCATCAGCCCCAAAAAAGGCACAATATCTCCAGCAAGTCAGCGATACTCTCCCCAAGCAGAGTTAGTCTACTGTCAGCCTTAGGGAAGGGGGATATCCCCAGAAAATCTCAATATTCCCCAGCGGAGTATACAGATATTCCTAAGCAAATATCCCCGGCATTCTTAATATAAGATTGTTCCCCGGCAGAATACAGATACCCCAGTGGAGCCACTTCCCCAGTGCAGTCCAAAAGTTTCCCCGGGAGAGTTGAATCATCCTCCCCATTAGGTTCTGGAAACTTATCCCCAGTAGATTCTGGAAGCTTGTCCCCTGTAGAGTACATATCTCTCCCCGACCATATTCAAAGGTTATTCCCCAACAGAGCTTATAACTGGGTTATCCTCAGCTAATTACTGTTGTACCCCAATTTTTGACCTAAGATCCCATTTTTATTTTTGCATTTTTAAACATAAGTCAAGGTCACAAAATACGGTCGGTTTTAACGTCTCACTTTCGAGCTTTGACTATGCGAAGATTGTCAAGTGTTTTGAACATTTTTAGCCTATGTATCACTAAGTTCTAATCGCATACAAAGGTGTATGTTCATGTTTTCTTTTGTGTCATGTGCAGAGACAGGTCTGAATCAAGAGCATCAGGTGTCGCGCCTCAATTAAAGTTTTGAGTCTCCCAAGCCCGAAGTACGGTTGATTGTGGATTCTCGAAGACTGATTCATCAAGGCACAACTGTTGCACCCTAAATTTCGCCCCTAATATATTTTAGTCGCACTTTCATATCATATTTTGTTATTTGGTCACAATCATTAGTAAACATCTTCATTCATCATATTTTGCATCATTAGTCGTATTTAAGTTGACCAAAAAAAGTCAGTTTAAATCAAAGTTTGCATCGTCTTTCAGTTGTAAAATACCCGACATTTCATTTCATTCATTTTTATCTGTTTACTATTTTCTTGCACTGCTCCAAATTGTTTATATGTCGATAATAAAATATTTCGGTTTTATAGACAGACTGTTAAAAGCGATTCGACACTATGCGGGAAAGTAGCGAGAAAATATTTCAAGTTTTCACCTTTTACCGATCATTTTATGAATCTGCGCTTCGCGTAGATTATGACGGTATGCTCGCTTTATTTTTTTGGTACAGTTTGAAGTCTCGTTTTTAACCGTAAAACGTTTGTTTAGCCTGATATTTTTATTATGATTTTATTTCGATTTTGACGTTTTGAATATTGTTTATTTAATTTTTATGACATGTAGTTTATTTTAATGTGTTCATTTTATTTTTTCGGATTAATTTTCGTCTGTTTTTTATCATTTTAGGTCTTTATTTTTTATTCATAAAATATTCAAAAAAATCATTTTAAATTGAGTTAATTTTAATACATTTAGTTTTTTTGGTTATTTTTAAGGACTATTTGATCACAAAATATATTATTTACACTATGCTCTATTCCTATTGGTTGTTGGATGAAATTGAGGATCGATACAAGTGCTCAAAAACAAATAAGCAGCATTGCACTACCAAGACAGAAAACCACTCTTGTTGACTCTTGAACCAAAAGTCCCTATATTCTCAATATCACACACATCCTCATCGTCCATAAATACCTCACACAACTCAATCAACAAAAAAAAACAATAACACTAACAAATCCTCACACACATTGCCACCAAAACAACATAACAAAAACAGCATCATGTTACAACCACTACTCTTATCACTGTTCCTGCTTCTTTGTCCATTTTCAACAGAATCAACCCCAATCAACGTATGGCCCAAACCAACAAATCTCACATGGACCTCACCACACCAATCCACACTCCTCTCTTCTTCATCACCGTTACCATCACAAACCCACCCGTCACCTCTTTTATTTCAAAACCATTCCAAAAGGTCCATCAAACTTTTTTTTGTTTTTTTGTTATTACTAACAATCTGCAGGTACCATAGAAGAAGTATAACAGAGAAAAATAATAGTAATAATGATACTTCAAACTAAATTGTTGCTGTCAATAAAAAAATAACAAAGGGACAACCAACAACAATGTCATCCTCTTCACAAACGCAAACATAACAACTCTTCGCACGTCTCAATCACAACGCCGGTATATGCCAACCGACGGTCTGTCGCGGATGTTGCGACCTCCTCTGCTCAGATCCTGACAACCTACTTCGAGCGAAAACAGCAACACCCAATCAGCATGAAGTGCCTCTGGTGCCCATCGTTCCGCTGCCTACTCCCTCCAGCAACATCGTGCATCGTTCCAATGACGAGCAACACCGCGATATCAGCCACACCGCTCAAATCTGCCTCCACCAGCACTTCAACGACTCTGGCTTCCATCCACTTCTAGTCGCCCCCTGCTAGCGCTCATCCCCTTGCTGTAACTTCTTCTCCACCTTTTTTTAATGATTATTATTTTTTAATATGTTATTACTATATTTTTTAGGTTAGGTTATTGTTATAAAAGTTTGGGCTTTTCAATCTTTGAGCCCTTGTTTACTAACCAATATACCCTCCAATACTATCAGCACACCCCATATCTTATGTTTTAACATTATCTTTTATTCTCTTATTTGATTTAGTTTTAATCTACTTACTTTGAAGTTTTTGTTTTAGATTTAATCTAGGAGATTTAAAAATATATAGTTGATTAGATTTAATATTAGGTTTATTAGTTTAATCATATAAAATTACAAAAAATTCCTTTTTAATTAGAACTAATTAGTTTAAAGTTAGAATTATTGTAGTAATTTTAATTTTAATTTAGTTAGTAAATTTTAGAATTTTTATTTAGTTTAGATTTAACTTAGTAATTTTATAATTTTAACTTAATTTACATTTTAATTTGGTTTAGATTTAATTTAATAATCTCAGAACTATTTTTATAACCTTAGAACTTGTAATTTAGTTTAGAATTATTTTAGCAAGTGTTCTTAAATTTTTAATTTAGTTCAGATAAGTTCTTTAGATAATTTGTTATATTCTCTTTTATTTGTTTTAAAATATCTCTGTCATTTTAATTTTTCGGTACCTTTTGGCCATTAACATGTTTCGTTAGATTTATTTTCTTTTGAATTCTCGAATGCTTATATTTTGATGTTCATTTTATTTTGCTTAGTCGATTTATTCCAAGGGAAATATTTTAACTTTGTTGACTTCATGTCATCAAATATATCTTACACGATCGCGTGAGTCCCTTCATTCATTTTGTTTTACTATTTTGTTAATCTTAAGTTAATTTTCCTAAAAACTCAATTTTCAAATTCACACCCTTTTAGCCAAAACATCGACACTAGGTCGTCGTATCTTCAAAATCTAGTTCGCACCTATTTTTAGCCAAACGAACCATTTTAATCAAACAAACAATTTTTAACCAAAAAAAAAATAGATATTTCAAAAGGTTCCTGCGGAGTACCGCAGATGCATTGGGTGCTAATACCTTCCCATTGTATAACCAACCCCCGAACTCTCGATCTCTTTCAAAAACGCATTGTATTTTTATTACTTTTAAGTATTATTTTACATTGCATATTTTAGGGTTTTATTTCGCTCTTTTCCCTTTTCCCTTGGAAATAATAAAGCGCGGTGGCGACTCTTGCTTTTGTGAGTCAAGTTAATTAATAGCTTGATCTTCGATTTTCACCGCTACAGAATTGGCGACTCTGCTGGGGAGGGATTGACCTCTTGCGGGTCCATCCCTAAGTGGGTTAAGCCTAATTTGTTTTATCTGTTTTATCATTATTTGATTGTTTGATTATATGTATATATTATGATTATTTGGGTGTTGATAATATTTACAAAGGACAAGTCCTATACCCGGACTAAGTTACACTTAGGAATAGGACGAGCGGTATAGTCATGTTAACTTTGAGGGAGTAATCCCGAAGAAGGAGGCATGAGATCCCCCACTCAGTGGAAGGGCCTTTTGAACGTAATATTTGTTTACCGAGTAATTGGGAAGACATTATTATTTTCGACCTGGGAGCCAGAGAAGCTGGGAACCGTAGAACCCTAACCCATCTTGGCCTTTTAGGTGTAGCGCGGAGATTATAACGGAGTAATCCGGAAGTAATTGTTACGCAATGCTACGCTCGGATGAGTTTCTCTTGAGAATATTGCTGATTATTGCGTAATCAAGACGTTGGTAATATCCGAAGGAGGAATGTAGACTCCGAGAACTCTTAGAACCTTGTTCTACATGTGTGATTAAACCGTTATTACATACCTTGGGGGTGTTCCTTACCTTGACTCCATGCTCGTGGCGTTGAACCTTTCGACTTTATTTGTGACCTTGCTTGTGGTTGTTGCATAGCCATGCATTCATGCAACCATAAAACCCTTTCACTTGACTTTGAAGGAATTTGGAGGTCTTTCTTTGTAAACATCACAAGTTTCGTCAAGCTCAATGGATCTTGGGTGTTGATAGGGCGAAAACCCTAATCCACCAAAATGGATGATTGATCTTGATGATAACTTGATCAATGTTTGGAGCCAATTTAAAATTCATCTTCTATCTTCATACTTTGGTGTTTACAACTTAATATCTTGAGTTCCTTGAAAATCAAATAAAAACTCTCTTTTGCATATCATACATCATTCTACATTTTTTGTTTCACTTTCAAAGGTCTTTTTCCGAGTCTTATTTTTCCTTTGGTCTCACCAGTACAACACTCGCGCTAAGAGAACAATGGAGAATATCAAGCAAGAGGTTTCTGAACTCCGTGGAGAGATGACTATTTTGAAAGCTAGTATGGAGCACTTAACTGGTTTGGTTGAAGTTTTGGTTGCCTCCCAAGTCAATCCTTCTAGGAGGAAAGAAGCGATGATAAAAGTCTTCACTGAAACTCTGAAATCATTCATTCATGAGAAGATGATAATTAATGCGCCTAGTGACTTTTCCTGACAAGGTGAATGTGGGAGTGCATCTGGAAGAAGATGTCTGAAAGGGATGTTTATATGAAGATGGTAGCTCAGCTAATGGTGTGAGGAAGTTTGATAATGACTTTTCCAAGAAGAGAACTAGAGGAAGAAATAATCATCATCAGAATCATCATGTTTCTCCCATTTATCAACAGAATCAGCAAGTTCCTAATCAGAGGAAAACTCAATTTGATCCAATTCCAATCACCTATACAGAGTTGTTCCCTATCCTGATGCAGAGAAATTTGGTTCAGACCCGACCTCCACCGAAGGTTCCTGAGAAGATACATTGGTACTACAAAGCTGATTTGACATGTACCTTTCATCAAGGTGCTCCTGGGCATGACTTGGAGGGTTGCTTTGCTTTGAAGATTGAGGTTCAGAAGTTGGTCAGAAGTGGTATCTTGTCATTCAAGAACGTTGGTTTTGAAGTTCAAATCAAGCATGTGCCGAAGAGTAAACACGATTGATGGTCACTTTGAGTTTTTGAAGGATGTTTTCGGTAATTCAAGTCCAGATGGAAAGCCTTCCCAGATCATTAACTTACTTCTGCTTTTTGTAATTTTTCTTGTTTATCAAAACATTGTTTGCATGTAAGAACTTGTTTGCATCTGTATGATTATCTTAATACAATGAGTATGTTTGTCTTGAAGAAATTCATTCGTTTCACTCATATTTGTTTTCAAATTTTAAATTTCTTTTTGCATTATGATACCAACTTATTGCCCATTCTCTTGCCTAGGCAGAGATTGAAGGGAGGATGATGATCTAAAGAACACAAAATCTCAGGTTGTTTGCTTTTGGATAAAATCTTACTGATGATGTACAGGCATTGTTTCAAATCCCTAAACACCGGAGATATAAGGAAGATAATCCCTTTCTAACCCCTTTTGAGCCTTGAAGTGGAAGTTTCTTTTCTATACGAAAAAACCCTCAACTTTTAACCTGGGGCAGGGTAGTTTTCAGTTAATCTGATTGAGTGTTCAAAATTCATAAGGAAGATGTTTTTTGAAGAGAAACTACGAGGGCTATCCTTCATGTATAATGAAGCCAGAAGATGTGGAATCATAATGTTATCCCTCATTCATCAAGAAACGAGGCAATCATAATCTTCTCAACAAGCAAATACAAGCTAATTCACACATTTTGTTCAAAAAGTCAAAAATCAAGAAAAAGAAAAAGCCTGCTAAGTCAAAAACATGAAAACTTACGACTTAGGCAAAAACTAAGGCATCCCGCTGGACTATCAATTCAAAAAAAATTAGTTCAGGCAAAAATTAGGGAAAATAAAAATTGCAAAGAAAGGACTACAAAGAAAAGTCCTCAGCAAAGAACAAATTGGTGACTACAAACACGAAGACATGAGGGTGGTTTCTACTCCGAAAACCTCGTCGTTTCCTTAACCGTCACAAAATCCTTTTGAGAGATGAACGCTCATGTTGAATTGACTGAACATAGGATTGGAGAACATCATGAAGGGGGTGGGCACCAAATATTTTAAGCCTTAAATCCTTTTTTCTAAAACCATGAACCAGACCACATTACAACCTTCAAAAGTCCTAATTGAAGCAAGGTTATTTTGAAAGCATACTTCAATGAGATAGTGTTCCTGACTCCCGTGAATGTTCTAAATAGTTATGTTGGTATCATATGTTTTTCCTATACAAAAATAAATGGTGCTTTAGCTCACAAAATTTGTGCGATATCTTTCAAAATCTTCAAGACTTACATAACTGTCGCATTAGAATTTTCATTCTCATTGTAAACTTTTTCTAACTGCAAAACATTTGTTTGATATCAAGGAAGCTCACATAAGCACCAGTGATGAGCTTATTCTTTTAAGGCATAAAACTATGTTGAGTAATTGGCGGATCATTTCAAGAAAAAATCATATGCAGGGGCATGTCACCTGAAGACCTTAAGCACGGATATGTTGCTTCTCTTAGTTAATGCTTTCCCCAACTTCTTTACTCTTTATTGGGGCAAAATTTGAAGACTTTGTTGTGCCAACTACAGTTAATCCGGGGCAATCACGTCGAGATTTGATGAATCTCTCTAAGAGTTTGAAGACACCATAGCACGATGGATGCCAAGTCTTTTGTAAAATCCTCTTGAGATGATTTCTCCTCATCAACCATATAGCTTGGGGCATTTTAGAAGTGAAGTTATTCGCAAGAATTGTCGTACCACATGCAGCTCATCAGCATTAAACTTGGGGCATCCAAAATTGGTCCCAGGGGCAATCTAGATTTGTCAAGATATGTGATATGTATTGCACACATTATCAGAGGGTGGTGTTCCCAGTATCTCCAACTAAGCATGACTTTTTCCAGCTGAATCATTGTTCGTGTTGTTATCCTTTCAATGGATTGTCGATAATAGAAGACTGGACTTTGGGTTTTCTACCTGAAAATATCTTC